CTTAGCACAAAGGAAGAGAAATATTTTTTGAATGATTCATTTCTTAGTATATGGGCATGTTTAGGGTGTAAGGAAACAGGATGAACCAAGTAGGTTGTCATTTTCCATATGATTCAGTTATGACCGACATAGGAATACATTAGTATAAGCAGTGGGATTGTAAAGAGGAAATAGACATTGAATTAGAATACTTACATAAATTTGTAAAAGCTAATTGGTTATCATAGTCTAAGTGTGAAATGGTGACATTGTGAGTTGTAAATATGTATTTGAAAAAATTAAGTATAGAGAACAGAGAGACTTAATCAAAAGGGGCAGGCTTTCAGGGAGGGATTGATGTATCAGGTAAGAAGAGATTTAGGATCAGTGGGATGAAGGCATTGTGATGGAGAAGATCATGTTTTGTGAGAAAAATGAGCAGACTATTTACAAATAGAAATTCTGGACTATAAGGTTGACATGATGAGCCAGACCAAGACTCAGATCTCAGCCACAAATTGAGTGACATTGAGCAAGAAAGACATCTAACCTCTAATAATCCCTAGTTTTGCTGTTTCACAGTGTTGTTGTGGGGATCAAATGAATCAAGATGATTCTGATGTAGGCAGGCCAACATAAGCATTAAGAAATAGTAGGCTACAAATTCGAATATACATTATGGTTGAAATATTGGAAAAAATACTAGAAGGAAATAGTATATCCAAATTATCTGTACTTGCATTAGAATGATATGAGTATGAATTCTCTTTCATCTCTTAATTTTGCCTATATTCCATATCATCATCAAATAACATATATTCATTAAGTATTTACTTCATACCACAAATATTATCCTAGGTGCTGAGAAAATAGGAGTGAATAAAAGAAATAAGGTCTGGACTCTGAAGTTGCTTAGGTTTTAGTAGGCAAACAGAGACAAAACAATGCACAAGATCATTTCGGATGATAAGTGCTGTGATAGTAGCATAATGATTAAGGAGGATGTAAACTGGTAGATGAGTCAGGGGCAGTCTCTGCAAGGATAGCAGAGACCTATTTGAGCAAAGATCTAAGTAATTGATAGATGGCAGGACACAAATACTGAATTGAGAAGAGTGTTGTAGGCAGTGTCTCTGGATGCTGCAACCGCCATAAGCAGAGTGAATAGGATGTGTTCAAGGGACAGAAGGAGGGCCACTGTGGCTGGAACACAGTGAGTGGAGAGGGTGGTGGAAAGTGAAAGTCACCAGATACATAGGGGCCAGATCATGAAGGACTTTTGAAACTGTGGTAAGGAAATTAGATTTTATTCTCAGACATTGGGGTATTTTAAGCGGAAAGATGATATGATTTATATTTTTAACTAATATTTTATATATGTGTATAAGATAATCATGATGGTGTGATCACTCACCTAGAGCCAGACATCCTGGAATGTGAAGTCAAGTGGGCCTTAGGAAGCATCACTATGAACAAAGCTAGTGGAGGTGATGGAATTCCAGTTGAGCTATTTCAAATCCTAAAAGATGATGCTGTGAAAGTGCTGCACTCAATATGCCAGCAAATTTGGAAAATTCAGCAGTGGCCATGGGACTGGACAATATCAGTTTTCATTCCAATCCCAAGGAAAGGCAATGCCAAAGAATGTTCAAACTACTGCACAGTTGCACTCATCTCACACTGTAGCAAAGTAATGCTCAAAATTCTCCAAGCCAGGCTTCAGCAATATGTGAACTGTTTACTTCCAGATGTTCAAGCTGGTTTTAGAAAAGGCAGAGGAATCAGAGATCAAATTGCCAACATCCGCTGGATCATCAAAAATGCAAGAGTTCCAGAAAAACATCTATTTCTGCTTTATTGACTATGCCAAAGCCTTTGACTGTGTGGATCACAATAAACTGTGGAAAATTCTGAAAGAGGTGGGAATACCAGACCACCTGACCTGCCTCTTGGGAAACCTGTATGCAGGTCAGGAAGCAGCAGTTAGAACTGGACATGGAGCAACAGACTGGTTCCAAATAGGAAAAGGAGTACATCAAGGCTGTATATTGTCACCCTGCTTATTTAACTTCTATTCAGAGTACATCATGAGAAACACTGGGCTGCATGAAGCACAAGCTGGAGTCAAGATTGCTGGGAGAAATATCAATAACCTCAGATAGGCAGATGACACCACCCTTATGGCAGAAAGTGAAGAAGAACTAAAGAGCCTCTTGATGAAAGTGAAAGAGGAGAGTGAAAAAGCTGGCTTAAAGTTCAACATTCAGAAAACTAAGATCATGGCATCCAGTCCCATCACTTCATGGCAAATAGATGGGGAAACAGTGGAACCAGTGACTGGCTTTATTTTTGGGGGCTCCAAAATCACTGCAGATTGTGATTGAAGCCATGAAATTAAAAGATTTCATTTCTCCTTGAAAGGAAAGTTATGACCAACCTAGACAGCATATTAAAAAGCACAGACATCACTTTGCCAACAAAGGTCCGTCTAGTCAAGGCTATGGTTTTTCCAGTAGTCATGTGTGAATGTGAGAGTTGGACTGTAATGAAAGTTGAGCATTGAAGAATCGATACTTTTGAACTGTGGTGTTGTAGAAGACTCTTGAGAGTCGCTTGGACTGCAAGGAGATCCAACCAGTCCATCCTAAAGGAGATTAGTCCTGGGTGTTCATTCGAGGCACTGATGTTGAAGCTGAAACTCCAATACTTTGGCCACCTGATGTGAAGAACTGACTCATTTGAAAAGACCTTGATGCTGGGAAAGATTGAAGGCAGGAGGAAAAGGGGACAACAGAGGATGAGATGGTTGGATGGCATCACGGACTTGATGGACATGAGTTTGAGTAAACTCCAGGAGTTGGTGATGGACAGGGAGGCCTGGTGTGCTGTAGTCCATGGGGTCACAAAGAGTTGGACATGACTGAACGACTAAATTGAACTGAACTGATACATGTACATATGTGTATGTATACACATAGTATATATATGTGTATATGCACACACATATGTAATAAAATTTAACTGCTAGGTGATAAGATGGCGCCTATCATGATTTCATGTCATGACATGATCTGCCAATGTCTAATTAATGGGGGGAAAATGAGGTCATTTCATATATATATATATACACACATATATATACACACTTATATAGTCATATGTGGCCTTTCCAGCATTAGATATTTTAAAAGAGGGGACAGTTTACCTCCCCAAGCTTTTACTGATTCATTAGATAATTGGTAACATATTTAAATAAGATTTACCGAGTTCTGTACAATGGGGCAAAGTTAAATTCTTGATTGGAAACACCAGTATTCTGAAAGTCAGTTCTGGTTCTCTGCTTCCAACATTGTGTTATTTTCACTTGCATTTAATTTCCTGAAAAGGATAAAGGAGTGGTGCATTTGAAAAAAATGATATTAAGGAGAAAATCTGCAAATGTAAAGCTGTGTTTGTTTGCTATAGAGTATTTGAAAATTGTTTGTCCTCTTCCTGGCAGCACATTATTTCTAAAAAAAAAAAAAAAAAAGCCAATAATGAGCTGAGCACTCTTGAGTGAAAACATTTATGGTGGAATGATTTTGGCATGTGAAGAGAGACGTCAACTACTTTCAGTCCCCAAAGCTTCATCACTGACCTCGTTATTCCTTTTGGAGCACATTTCAGAATCTGCTCCCAAAGTACAAGGGCATAACAGGAGAGCCAGCCCTTTTCCTCCATCCTTTCAATGCCTGAAACAATAATGCCCTTTCAGTGTTGTCCAGAAAGTAGGGTATTCCTTTGTGAAGACGCATAGTTATGGAACTTTGATGTCAGTTTTGAAGAACTCACATTGCCTTCAGTGTCTGCAAAGATAACTACTGATCTCATACAGCTTGAAGCCTGTTCCCATCTCTATGCCCTAAGTCGCTTCAGTCATGTCTGACTCTTTGCGACCCCATGGACTGTAGCCCGCCAGGCTCCTCTCTCCATGGGGATTCTCCAGGCAAGAATACTGGAGTGGGTTGCCATTTCCTTCTCCAGGGATCTTCCCAACCCAGGAATCGAACCCGTGTCTCTTATGTTTCCTGCATTGGCAGGCAGGTTCTTTACCACTAGCACCACCTGGGAAACCCCATCCCATCTCCATAGAAAATATAAATGTCCGCACTACCTTCTTTCTCCAGAATGCAGCGCAGCCAGTGTCAGTGCCGTCAGGGTCAGAGAGGGTGGTCTTCATCAACCCGACTCTTGCCCCTCTTTTCTTTCCATCAAAAACAAGGTTTTTCAAAAAGATCTATCCAGGTTTTATCCTACCAGGGCCTTTGTTGTTTTTGAAAATGAATATTGTTTCTCGAGTATTCAGAAAGACATCAAAAAGCAAAACCACTTCTGCAGTTCCTGCTGGAATGAAACATCTGACCCCTTTCCCTACATTTTCATCCTGGAAAGTGATCCCTTCTGAAAGAAAGGAAACAATTTTCAAGCAGCTGTTTTTTTTTTTTTTTTTTAACTCCTTTGATGTAGTCAGCAATGCTTTACCAATGGACATTTCATATAGAGTTCATGTCAAGATCTTCAGGAGAAATAGAAGATAACCCTCTGACCCTGCCTTCGGGTGGCTTAGAGTCTTCTTGCATTACGAAGTGCAAATAGAACCGGAGTTACTTAAGAATCCCTAAAGGTAATATATGGTTTACGAGTTCAAGCTCTTCAGTCAGACAGCCTTATCCTGGCCTTCCCTTATCCCTTTCTACCTGAGACACATGTATTTCCAACAACTTCAGAAATTTCTGCAAAGCAAGTATAATAATAGCAATCATATTCTAGAGTTGCTGTGAGGCCAAATGAAATAGTGAGTCATGCAAATAAAGTAGTTAGCATGCTGCCAGGGCCTCAAATTAATACTTAAAACTCTTGGTAAGCATTAATGGAGAAAAATTATTATTTCAATCATTTTTTTTATAAGTGGCCTTTGAGAATTATATTACAATCTTATATTCACAAATGTAAATATGGACTGTTTTCATTTTGCTTTATAGGCATTTTAAACTGTTGTGTGGCATACAACGTTGGTCTCCCAAAAGCGAAGATATTTTCTGGTCCTTCAAGTGAACAGTTTGGCTATGCAGTGCAGCAGTTTATAAATCCAGAAGGCAACTGGTAAGAACATTCTTTATGTTTTCAGTAAAATCATTAAATAAATTTAATATTTGACTACAATTTCTTGTTCAGATTGATGCATGAAAATGTTATTAATTGGTAGCCCTCAAATATCCTTATATGAGGAATTTTTCTTTCAGACTTGGTAAATATCAGATTGATAATTAGTGGGATGACTTAAAAGTACTTTTTAAAAAAAAACCTAGATAGAAAGTTTTCACTAAATATTCCATTGTGAATTCATAATACCAGATTTTGACCATTTGGTGATAGATAAACAGATAGGTAGGTAGATGGATAGATTTGTCTTCCTTTCTTACTCTGTAAACTGGTATCCACTAGGTTTTGTAAGTGTTCAACTAGCTAACGCTATCTCTGGACCATTTCTAGATGGCAGAATTGTTCCTTACATTTTCTCCTTCAGCAAAGCTTTGTCTTCTGGCTTCATTTTAAGTCAGGATTCCCTACTCCAGGTGACCAGGGGTCCTTACAAGCATTCATGCTCCCTGTTGCAGCAGAAAATTCCAGGCAGATCCTGGCTCATTTAGAGCTTTTTCTGATGATTAAATGGGCAGTTATTAGTTTATCAAATAAGGACTATAATTTATACCCCTTTTCCTTCATGAACTTACATCTGGTGCTCTAAAAAAATGGAATTCAAACATTCAGGATCCCAATGATTCACATTTTGGTATGTGCATATCTGTATAATGGGCAAACAAAATGAAATGATACTCAAGAGGGTAGTGTGTCTCAGAAGGCATCATAGAAGAGGTGAACCATGAGCTGGGTCTTAAGAGTGGAGGTGAACTAGCAGGAGAAGAGTATTAACTCATTCCTGCTTCAGGGCTTTGGTGTACTGCTTTTCTCCTGGAAGGGACTGTCTTCCCAAGATTTTCACTCTTATCTCTCAGTTTCAGCTCAAATGCCTCCTTCTCAAAGAGACCTTTCAGAACCAACCTGTCTGAATTAGCACTTCACAACTGCTCCCAGTTGTCTCTAGCCTTTTATTTTCTGAGTAGCCGTTGTTACTATCTGAAATTATCTTTATGTGTTTATACGCCCATGACCCACCTTCTGCTCTGTCTCTCAGTGTAGGCACTGGTGTGTGCTCAGAACCCAGAGTGGCAGCTGATGTTGAGTAGAGGGTCAGTAATTATTTTCTTGATTACTGAATGAAAGTCCTAGTTCAGTTGGTTCACTTGAGGTAGTCTACAAAGTGATCTGTTATAGACCGACTGATATAGAAGCTGAACAAGACCTTCAGACGAGTTCTGATGGTCCACTTCATGGGCATGGCCTTGCTGAGACCAACCTGGCATTAAACTTGAGGTGATTCTTTTTAAGTAACAGTTTTTCTGGGACAGAGAAAGAGCCACCATCAGCAATAGATGGTATTAGAAATGTCAAGGATTGTTGGCAGCTCAGCCACTGGCCACTTTGTGGGTTGGAAGTTACCCAGAGGGACAAAGTTGACAGGAATCTAGCAGGCAGAGTGCTGGCCAAGTGAGCCCTGTCTCCTTTCTCTCTCCAAGATTCCCTTTAAGTACAGAAAGCATTGCTAGAAGACAAACGCATTACAGGGAGCTCTGCTCAATACTATGTAATAACCTAAATGGGAAAAGAATTTGAAAAGGAATAGATGTATGCATGTATATAAATGAATCACTTTGCTGTACATCTGAAATTAACACAACATTGCTAACCAGCTGTGCTCCAATATAAAATAAAAATGTTTAAAAAGACAAATGTATTAATTTGTGGTGAGAATCTGGTGCTGACAGGGTTATTTCAAGACCAAGGATCCCAGACATTTCTAAATCTTGCCTTGACCTTCTCGTGACATTACTGAAAGATACATAAACACAGAGCTTTCTGTTAAGATGTATGGTGAGGCTTGTCAAGGACTTCTTTCCTCAAGCCTAGTACAACCACCAGCTGGTTTGTGCAAACCCCACGCCCAGGAAGCAGAGAAAGGAGGTCTTACCTGAAGCCTACACCCTGTGGGGGTGTGAAGCAGGAAGAAAAGAGAACATAAGCTGGCCTGACATGCTAGCCTAGGTCACTCCCTGATCTGGCCCCGTAACATCCAAGTCATGGACGTGATCTTCTAACGCACCACAGGCTGGATGCTACATGAGGTGCAGAAAGTACAAAGCATAGACCTTGGCTTCAAGGCATGTGGAACAGTCAGTGAGGAAGATGAATGTGCAGATCAGGCAGCCGTGAATAATCAGAGGCATAAGTGCCACCTCCCGAAGTTAACAGCGTTTGTGTTCCTCTAGTGTCACTTTCTATATTAACTTGCTGTCAGGAGCTCATTTTCTCTTCCCAAGACCCGAGACACTAGAGGGACAGGGTTCCCTCCTGACTTCTCTCACTAGTTGACGCCGCCCAGGTTCCTTGCTCAGGGGGCAGGGCTGGGCAGGATCCAGGTGTGAGTGGGTTTTCCCGCTCCAGTGCTGGGGTGGCCGAGGTTAGCACCAGCAGCTTTCATGACTCCCGGGATCAAGGAAAATACTATGAAACTTGGAATCCAGAATGGCCTATTTGTTTTGACAGTTGGCACTGTGCCCCTCCCCACTCCTAATTTATGACAATCACACAGACATTATGGGAGTAGCAGATGTGGGAAAGACTGTTTTAACATTAACTTTCCTTCTGATATTAATCAAGTTAACTTTGGGCACAGAAAGTGATATTACTGTGAATTCCTTTAATAAACTATGAGTCTTTTTCCCTTAGACTTTATATATGTAACACACACTCACACACCTCTCTCTCTATTTTTTCACTCCCTTACTGTAAAAAGGGAATAAAAATGTAAAGCTGCTGTTCTGGTAGTTTTCTCCTCAGCTCACTTTGACTTTCTTTAGTCTGTCTTGTTGAACCCCCGACCTCATCTCTCAGCCCTTTCCTGCCTTCTGAAAACTCACTTAAAGCTCTAGCCTGAGTTTTCTTAAGTCACACTCTGCTATTTTCAAAGTACAAACTTTATCTCTTCCATGTGCCCCATGTTTCTAAGAATGTATTGGCATATTTTGCACAGGGATCTATAAAATTTTAACAAAATGATCTTGAGCCCTTTGCTGGTTTCACTTATTATACTTTTATTACACTGTGGACTTTTACTTTAAAAAGAGTGTTGATATGCTTTGCAAGTTCTTGAAATTTTATCATGGTCTCTTATGAGCTGGATGATTTTAAAAGCAAGATTACCTTCCAAGTAGAGCTCCACGGTGCTCCTCTTCCTGTAAGTAAGTCTGGGGTCTGTTCTCCCTCCAGTGTAGGCAAAGGGTCACCGCACTTTGGAGCCCTCATTTTATATACCGGATGTTCAGATGTAGGTGATGCAATCCTTATCACAGTTGCACAAAGGATTGTGATACATTTAACGTCATTTCCTGGAAGCTTGTGGTGATATGTACTGTTTCTGTTTGTCTAATCTGAGGGCCTGTCTCAAGAATCATCTGAACTCATTATATGACTCAAAAATCTTAGAACACTGCAATCTCTTGTGTGACGGGGACTGTCTGGGAATTGAGGGTATTTCCAGTTGTAGAAATGTATTTTCTTGTTGTAGTGAGGACCAGTGCATGCTTGCTCTTTAGAAGGAGAAATACAATGAATATGTGTCATGAGTGCTTACCTCTTTGTCCACCTCTGTGACCCTTTGGACTATAGCCCACTAGGCTTCTCTGTCCATGGAAGTTTTTTGGCAAGAGTACTAGTGTGGATTGCCATTTCCTCCTTCAGGGGATCTTCCCAATCTAGGGAAGAGTTTTCTTAAGTCACACTCAGCTATTTTCAAAGTACAAACTTTATCTGTTCATGTGCCCCATGTTTCTAAGAATGTATAGGCAGGGATCTATAAGATTTCAGCAAAATGATCTTGAGTCCTTTGCTGGGTTTTATTTATTATACTTTTGCATCTCCTGTGTCTCCTGCATTACAGGTGGATTCTTTACCACTGAGCCATCAGGGAAGCCCTGAACATGTTTCATAGCCAAAAATAAAAACCCTTCTATCTCTATATATTATAGATTCTAATTTTTAATTAAGAAAAATGTAGTAAAGCATTATGTATATTATAAGTATAACAGGGTGTATGAGATACCTCTTGTAAGGGAATTTTAGATAAACAATAAAGGAGTAACATTCAATTCTGCACAAGCAGCAATGATTATGTCATATAGTATATCGGCAATATCAATGCTAGTAAATTCTTAGCCAACACATAATACTCATGATGACTCTAAGAGTTTTGTCAAATTATTACCCATTTTATAAGTGATAAAGGGGTGAGACTTAGAAACCTTTGTTAGTTGTCTAAGTTTACAGAACTAAGAAGTAATAAGCATAGGGTAGATTAATACAAGCAGCTTCCCCAGTGGCTCAGAGGTAAAGAATACACCTGCAATGCAGGAGCCACAAGAGACACGTGTTCAGTCCCTGAGTTGGGAAGATCCCCTGGAGGAGGGCATAGCCACCCACTCCAGTACTTTTGCGTGGAGAATACCACAGACAGAGGAGTCTGGTGGGCCACAGTCCATAAAGTCTCAAAGAGTCGGACATGACTGACGTAAATTAGCATGCACACACACAGATCACACAGATTAATACAGGAATAAGGTGTTCCAAGTGGGCATGTTTCTTTAAGTCTCCAGGGAAGAACATGGGAGAATGTAACTGGCATTTATAAATAATATTTAAATATAATTTTCATGTAAAGTTTTTAAAGAAAGATGAACTTCATTCAGCATTTTTAATGAAAAATTGTTACAGAAAGTATTGTCTGGGATGAAAGTTCCCATCTGTCTTTTCATTCTCTGATAGACAGAGATTTGTCAGATTAGCCAAGAGCTAGAACAAAAGGGTTTTACCTCAGTTTCCCCACCACTAGCTGGGTGACTTTGGGAGAGTCACAGAGCCTCTCTGGATCACAAAGAAAATGGCATCCTGACCAAACCAGAAGTTTTTACCGCCTTGTGAGAGAATAG